ACGAAGAACTTGAAGAGGAAGGAGCCGGCGAGGGCGGTGCGGTACTCTGGTTGGCCGCCCGGCGCGTCGTGAGGCACGGCGAGCTCGGACATCACGGCGGGCAGCAGCGCGTCTACCGCCGCCGCGTCCCACGTACAGCCGCGCAGCTTGTCCGCCGTCTTCGCCGCGAGCACCGCCGTCGGCGCAAGCCCTCCGTACGCCAGCGCCGCGTCAGAGACGACCCAGACACCGCGCCCCTCGCGCTGCGCCGGCTCGAGTCGGACGCGCAACGCGCACGAGACGATGGAGATGTCGTCCTCGCGGCGGCGCGCCTGCTTGTACGGCCGCACGAACTCGAGCGGCGCGCAGTGCGGCACGAAGAAGGAGACGATCACCTGCAGAGGGGGAGGAGAGAGGGGGAGGGGGGGGGGGTGCGCACTCTCAAGACCCCACATGCCGAGGGGAGCGGCGGCACCACCGCCCCACTCTCGTCCGGCTCTCGGCGCACACCTCGTCCGGCTCGAGGGCGACGCGGCGATAGCCGGTGACGAAACCGGCGAGCGGGACGGTCCGCTCGCCGCGCGCCTCCGACGCGGCGGTCAGCGACGCTCCGCACGCGAGCAGAGTCGGGATCATGTCCGAGATGGGGGACGCGGTCGCGATGTTGCCGCCGAGCGAAGCGACGTTCCGAATCTGCGTCGATGCGAACCAGCGGAGCATCGTGGCGCAGGCGCGCGCCGCCTCGCCCTCGCAGCCTGAGCCGCACAGCGTGGGCGTGTCACCGCGAGTGCCGTCAGACCTCTCTCCCCCTCTCCCCTCCTCCTCTCCCTCTCCGCCTCCCCTCCTCCCCTCCTCCCCTCTCCCCCTCCCTCCTCCTCCCCTCCTCCGCCCGCCTGGTCGGGCGCGGCCCGCCGCCTCGCACAACGCCTCCACATCCGAGAGAGGCGCGCACGCGCCGAGGGTGAGGCCCTTCGCGCCGTCCTCGCACGCCTGCGGGACATGGTCAGGGACGCGTCGCGGACACAGCCCAAGCTGAGGCCGGCCCGCGCCATCTCCAGGGGGGGAGGGGGGGGGGGGGGTGTTCGCACCACCAGCTGCGGCACGCGCGAGGGGGAGAGGTACCTAGTCGTGCATGACCACAGGGGGCTGAGGATGGGAGCACGGCACCGTGCCGTGTCTTCAGAGCAGCGTCGGCAAGCAAAGGCTACCAACGCAGGGAGCACGGCCTTGCATCTAAAGACAGGGTCACGCGTCTGCGGAGCGGCGCTTGTACCGCGCCT